AAAAATTGCCCCCCCCCTTTTTTAAAGGTTACAAATACTGCACTTGCCTTGGAAAAAAAACATATTAAAAGCATCTTTAAAATCAAAGCCAACAACTTACAAACCCACAAAGATAGCTACCCCTTGAAAAGATAATTAATAGTAGACCTACTTTTCACAAACATGAACCTAAACTGATAAAAATGTCTTCTCTTAAAGGGGTTATGTACATAATTTCCATAGTGGTTAGCGCTCTGCCCCATACAAACATCCATTCACATAAGCACTAACTGACATGGATCATCATTAAGTGTTTCACAATATATAGCACTCTCAAACTTAACAATTACCTGATAATTTTAAAATGTTAAAAGACTTCTTAAAAAAATTCCTTTCTGCTCATTGGGAGGCTAAAGCAACAGATAGTTTACAAACAGAAAATATTCTAGCCAGTAAGATGAGCCTGTTTTCCTAAAAACCAAAGTACTACAACTACATTTCTGCATTTAGTCCCACAGAACACAACTAAAATGAAACACTGCCATAGATCATATTCTAGATTTCAATGATGCACATCAAAACACACCACGTATTCTTGGCCATATATCATCAATGTATGCAACAACTATGCAAAGTACATATGGACTTTGTTTCTTAACAACATTTTAATGGGCTGCTACTTTTTATACAATTCTCAAGTGGTGAGTGATGATGTGAAAGCAACCAGAGGACTCAGGCAGTATCTGAACTGTACTGGCTAGGCTAGGCTGTGACCAGACTCCTGAGACACCCTCGCACCCCACCCCCACCCCCCACACAACTAAAGCACAGATGGCCACAGCTGTGGATTGTGGAACTGTGTAGGCGGTAACCCTAGATCAAAAAAGAAATACTGGGGGCGCCTGGGTGGCTCAGTTGGTAGAGGGTCCAACTTCGGCTCAGGTCATGATCTCACGGTTCATGGGTTTGAGCCCCACATCGGGCTCTGTGCTGACAGCTCAGAGCCTGGAGCCTGTCTTCGGATTCTGTGTCTTCCTCTTTCTCTGACCCTCCCCTGCTCGTGCTGTCTCTCTATCTCTAAAAAATAAAAACCTTAAAAACAAAACAAAACAAAAAAGAAATACTGGAGGCATAAGCCCCACGATCATCACAGGGTTCCAAAGCCAGATAAACCAAGGGGTTCTGCAGTGTGGAGCCATTCTTATCTGTCAGCTTTGCAGGGCCTCCCAATTTCTGAGGGCAGGATGGGGGGGGGGGCTCTGATGCTGCCGTTCTCCACACTCTAGAAAATGACCCCACACCTAGTGCTTTGTGTCCACAGCCTTCTCTGAGATCAGCAAATATGCAGGGTAGTGTGGTTATGGGCCACAGTGTTTACTTCTGCCACATTTTAGCTCACTTCCTAAAATAATTATAGCAGAGGTTACAAACCAATGGTCTGTAGGCCACATCCAGTCCACTGATCTGCTTGGTTTGACCTCAATAGTGTTAAAGAAAAAAAGAAAAAAAGTTGAGCCACATTTTGTTAAAGATATTTTTTATTTCCTTAATTAATCTCTACATCCAACGTGGGGCTCAAACCCACAACTCCGAGATCAAGAGTCTCATGTTCCACCAATGGAGCCAGCCAGGTGCCCCAAACACACTTGAACATAGAGAAATTTTACATAACAATCTGGCTATCGAGCTTTCTTCTGAAAAAATGAGAAGCTGGAGCAACACCAGGCAGCTGGCTAAGAGTGGCACGGAAGGGACACATACTTTCCAGCTCGCCAAGCTTTGCACTCTCCCTAGGGCGTCCCAGAGTCACAGGCCTGACTCTGCCGCTGTCACTGGCATACACTCTGGGTCTGTGCCACCCACAATGTGCCATAAAAGGTTTAAAGCCAGTACCGCATCAGTCTAGGCTAGCGTGTCTCAACAGTGGGCTGCTGGTACAGTCATGTGGGGTACAAGAATTCTTCATCATGCAAGCTTATGTGGAGTATCACAAGGTGGTCAAGATCCCGGCCCCTCCTGCGAAACTGCCAGAAACACCGTAGGCTTCTCTAGAAAGGCGAAAGAACCTCAGGCAGACAATCACTGCTAACATGTTAAGTTTGGTGACATTAGAATATCTGAGGTTTGAAGAAAAGTTCGCTTTGTCTTGAGAGGACGTATAAGTAAAGGCAGTATTCATTTTCCTGATGAGTCTGGCCCAGCTAATAACCAGTGAACAAAAATATGTATACTAGTATGAACCTTTGCCAACTTTCATCCATTACTTGCTGCTTCGGAAGTTTTGGTTTTAGATGATATTTATTGAGCCATATGTATGTATCAGGCACTGTGCTAAGTGCTTTGTTTTACTTAATCCCCCTCATCCCATGGGACAGGCAATAATATCACCCACATTTTAAAAATGAGGAAATATGAGGCTCAGAGAGGGTATATAATTGCCTGTAGTCACATAGTTAATAAGCAGCAAAACTAGGATACAAACTCAAACATCACTAAGAGAGTTAGGACTTACAATTTCCTTTATTTCTGGTTAGATGGTAAGACTCTGATGATGCCAAAACTCTTTAAGACAGTTTAAAGTTCAAACCAAAACCTGATTATAAAATAGAAGGGATCTTTGTACTAAATAGTAAATTCTTCAAAGTAAACAGCAATAAGAAGTGGCCTGAACAGTGGAACGTAACAAATGATCTTTTACTGGCACAGGTAAGGGTTGCAATTTCAGGATTCTCCATGCATATACATAAAGGTACAACCAATTAATGAGGGAGGGACAGGAATACAATAGTTATTTCCCCTAGATGAGTCTTTCAAATAATTTATAATATAATCATCTCATAGGATTCTGATTACAGGGGAAACCATTCTAAAACAGTCACATTTTAGCTGCATCTATCTTATATTCTATTATAGTCTCAAAAAATATATATTATGGATTGATATACTATTCATATTAGAAGAATCAAAAGCATTTTCATGTTAAATATAAACCCCCAGATACAAAAAGAAGCATATTCAGTTTAAATTTAGCCTAATACCTCCACCCAAGTGAACATCTGCTTGCCAGCTGTCCCCTATACAGGACCTATCACACATGTCACTCCTGCCTTCCCAAACCAACCTCCCCAACAAAAATACAAATGAAGGTATTTGGGATCTCCTCCCAGTTCTGAGTTTGGTAACCAAACAGTAGGATATCATTATTTGTTTTTTAAGTAAGCTATACACCCAACATGGGGCCTGAACTCATGACCCCAAGATCAAGAGCTGGATTCTCCACCGACTAAGCCAGCGAAGTACCCCAAAGAAGTAGGATATTATAAAATAAAGTAAAATGACCTTATGCAGTGGTATACGAAAAAAGAAATGGAAAGCCTTGATTCTTATTAGAAATATTTTGTTCGTTGAGGAGTACTGAGTTGGTGATAGGGGAAAAAACAGTACCTAAGTTAGAAAAATTAGGAATTTCCTTTATAAAATGACTTTAAAAATATCTCAAGAACATTCTGGAAAACACAAAACTATAGAGATAGTAAAAAGATCAGTGGTTGCCAGAGGTTTGTGGGGAAGAAGGCTCACAGGTGAAGCAGAGGCAATTTTAAGAGCAGTGAAATTATTCTGTATAATACTCTAATGGTAGATACATAACAGTATGCACTTGTCAAAACCACAGAACCTGTTAACAAAAAGAGTGAACCTTAAAGTATGCAAATTTTAAAACAGGTCAGGGGATCCCAGGAAGGAACGGATGGGATTACATCCCATATGATGTAATATATTTGTATTACAAATATATGAAACAATATCACTGCAGGGGGTAGAGGGGAAAGGTGCTGACCTAAAGAACTTTGGAAATGAGTGGTATCTCTAAGAGTAAAGTAAAGGCAAAAGGAAATGTACATCAGCACTGTACTCTAGTTAATAAAGCTGTTTCTTTTGGGTGCAGAGGTTAAGAAAGCTGATATACAACTATACAGGTTTACTGGGAGTGAAAGATTAAGTACATGGATGGTGAATGCTGGGAGCCAGGTCTCACCGCTGGAAGTGAGAGGTCACAGACAAGCAAGGGGAGAAGCCTAGTATGATCCATGTAGTAATGGATTAGGTTGAAAACATCAGTAGCAACTCATGTTTAGCTTAACAGCTTAATACTGATACAGATATAAAAAACAGATATAGAGAAACATTTATAGACATGCATAAATATATAGATACTCTATACAGGGGATTTCAGCTAGCAAAGCCCAGAAGCACCAACACCCTGAAAAGGCCATGAGCACATCTAGCAAGTACTCAGATCCCGATGTCTAACAGCATTCTCTAATAAAAGGAACCAGGGCTTTGTGGAGAGATGGCTGGTTCGAGAACCAGAACAGGGGATACACAGGATAAGCCTGGACAGACAGGATACACACGATAATCCTAGAATGCTAGAAAGTTAGGAAGTGCTCAAAAGGAACACCCTTCCCCCATCACTGTGCAGGCATGTTAAAGTGACACAGGGACCAACCGGAAGAGTTCATCAATGGCCACGGCTAGAAAAAGTTAGGCAACAAAATAAAGTAGTAATGGATTATGACCCAAAGTATAAAATAATTATCCATGAACCCATACTGACATAAACAAATGACTAAATGTGTAACTAAATGGGGGAGAGGAGACAATCTTCTATTCAAAGAATTCCCAATAATTTATGTAGAACACCCTCAGGGGAAGGGGTGTAACTTCCCACTCAAGTGGGAAGTACACAGTGACTTCATTCCCAATAACACAGTGCAAGAAAGAATTAAAAAAAAAAAAAAAAAAGTAACATTACGGAAGAGAACCCTGACATAAACCTCAGCAAGGTGACCAAAGCCAACATGAACAGTGACAAATCATATTGAAGTATGTACTCCTGATGTGCTAATACAAGAATGGTACTTTACCTCTGTGGTCTTCCTCCCCCAAACCCACAACACCAGTCTAATAATAAGAAAAACACAAGACAAATCCTGACTGCAGGACATTCTACCAAATACCTGATTGGTTCTCCTCAAAACTGACAAGATCATCAAAACAGTGAAAAGTGTGAGAAACTGTCACAGCCAGGGGAGCCTAAGGAGACATGGTGACCACTCGTAATGTGGTGTCCCGGGGGGGTGGGGATCCTAAAACACAAAAAACACATTAGGTAAACACTAAAGAAATCTGAATCAACTGTGAAGTTAGTAACAATGTTTCAGCACTGGGTAACTGTAATAAATGTACCACTGCTAATGTATTCAATTAATTAGAAGAAACTGGGTGCTGAGCAGACAGGAACTCTCTGTATTACCCTCTCTATTTTTCTGTGAAACTAAAACTGCACAGGGGCGCCTGGGTGGCTCAGTCAGTTAAGTGTCTGACTTTGGCTCAGGTCATGATCTCACAGTTCGTGGGCTCAAGCCCCGCATCGGTTTCTGTGCTGACAGCTAGCTCAGATACTGGAGCCTGCTTCAGATTCTTTGTCTCCCTCTCTCTCTGACCCTCCCTTGCTCACGCTGTCTGTCTGACTCTCTCTCTCAGAAATAAATAAAACATTTAAAAAATATAACTGTACAAAAGAAAACAGTCTATTTAATTAAACAAAACTTACCTGAAGATGATTTATGAGTTCTGGCCCGGGAGTCTTATTCACATCTCCAGCTGAAAAAGCACCTTCTTCTCAGTAGTCTGCAAAGGTGATGAAAGGAGAGGCAGGTTATCCTTGTGCTGACTTCCTAACGCAATGTGGATACATGACGAAAGCCCACAGACTTCTGGTGCCTTTAGGCAACAGCACACAGGAGCTAGACCACACTTTTAGGGCAGGGGGTTTGTTCCCAAGTATCATCACAAGCTGAATCACTGTCCTTTCTTTTAGGTCACAAGTATATTCTGCATCAATAATATTCTTTTATTCCAAGAGAACAGCAGTTCAGTAAAACAAAAAAAATAACCCACCGTTTGTTTTCTGAAGGCTTTTGTAGCACACCTGGTTGTGACTTACCATCCTGAGCCCTCCCATCTAACTACAGAAGAAAGGAGGAAGCCCAGGCCTCACAGGCATGTATGAAACTTTAAATTGTATGGTCAAAATAGTAAAGACCTTTTTAAAATATGTGGGCTCAGTTGGTTGAGCATCCAACTCTTGATCTCAGCTCAGGTCATGATCTCACGGTTGTTGAGTTCCGAGTCCCGCGTCAGGCTATGAGCTGACAGCGATGAGCCTGCTTAGAATTGTCTCTCCCTTCTCCCCCCATTCACACCCCCCCGCCCCCTCCCCCCGCTCTCTCTCCCTCACCATAAATAAACCTAAACAATTTTCTTATGTGGACTACAATACAAATCATTTCTGTTCCACAAAGGGCAATTTATAAAAGAACAATAACCTTACGGGCTTGACAGATGAGCATTTTCTCTCCCCATCATTCAGAAACTATGGTAGTCCCCTCTTACGCATGGTTTTGCCTCATGCAGTTTCAGTTACCCGTGGTCAACTGCAGTCCAGAAGCAGATGATCCACCTTCCAACTTACCATCGGAAGGTCAATAGCAGTCTAACACTATGTCACAATGCCTACGTCTTTCAGGTCACTGTAACTCATCATGGAGGCATTTTATCACCTCACATCATCACAAAAATAGGGGTAAATACAATTAAATATTTTGAGATGCCACATTCACATAATTTTTATTACAGTATACTGTCATAAATGTTCCCATTTATTATAGCTAATCTCTTCCTGTGTCTACTTCATAAACTTTATCATAGAGAGGTATGTACAGAAAAAAACCATAGTTTATATAGAGTTCAGTACTATCCACAGTTTCAAGCATCCACTGTGGGACTTGGAGCACGTTCCCTGTGGATAAAGGGGGTTTACTACCCAGTAAACCTAATACTCCAACGTGAACTTTACCATTTGGGGGTAAACACTGGCTTCTATCAGAGGCATCTAGGATACAAGCCTCTACTTAATCTCCTGACTGAACCTCATTTATACCCACAGGAGAGCTAAAATAACAAGCCTTGGTTTTAATATATATTTTCAGCACTTTACCATATTTTTCTTGTTTTTTAATTTCTCAATTCCTTTCTCTTAAACATTACCCAAAAAATGAACTTCAAGTAGGAGCAAAAGTCCCAGGCACCTACATGAATGCTGTTTTCTTCCACATGTAATGGCTTTTTCAAATCTGATAGAACACCACAAAATCCACCCCACATGCATGTGAACTTTCTCCAATCAACCTTAATCACCACAGCTCTCTCCCTTTCCTAAATGCCTGACAAGTTGAGTGTCTGTCACCCCTATTAGCACCTGAAATAACATTTCTCAACTTTTTATCCTCCTCTAGGTTTCAGCACTACAGATCTTGAGAACAAAAAGCAAGCATGCTCTTTTAGTTACAGTGCCTTGTGCACACAAAATACCTAGCATGAATGACAAAATACAGGATTTTAAATTAATTGGAAATCTAATTTGCTCTGGTTGAGGTGTTTCAAATTTTTTGTTTTCTGTTTTTTAAACAAAAGGGTCTTTGTTTGTAAAAAGCCACAGGGCTAGCTACTGGGGTGACAGAACAGGCCAGCTCCTCAGGGCCTGGGGGCATGTGGGCATATGTGTTTGGGATGGGGATGCCCCGTGAGTGACTGTGTCACCCAGGACTGCCTTGGGGAAGGTGGCACTGGCTTAAAGACAGGGTGAGCTGGGAGCAGGGGCCGGGGCGGGGGCGGCAGGGAGCCTCAGCCTCCAGCAGTTCTGGAACAGGATCCTCCCCGGTCAGCAATGGAGGTGCATGGGTGCTGCCTGCAGTTATGCCCTCAGGACCTCTCTCGTGGTCCAGCCATGGGGGCTGAGCATGCTCTGGGACCTCTTCCAGTGGTTGGGCAGAAGACGTCGGGTGGCTGTGCTGGGGGGTGTCCCCAGGGCTGGGCTCAGTGCCCTTCTGCAGGGAAGTTTCCGAATGAAACTGTGGTTACTGTTCTCATCGCTGCGACCCATCAGGATGAGAGAGACACTCCAAGGGACTGGCGCCCCTACCCTCCACTCCAGGCCTTGGAATCTGTCCCCACCACCTGCCCTCTGTCACCTTTCCTCCTGAGGATCCACCAATGGCACCCAACTTGAAGATACGAAGGGAAGTGTGGCCTACGGCTCACCTGGCACTCCTTCCATCTCCAGACCTTCTCCACAGTTACCATTACCTTCTGGATGTCATCCTTGGCCCAGCCCCGGGTCTCAGCCTGCACGGTCCTGCCAGCCACGCTGGCAGAGCTACAGTGGAGACCAAGGCAGCTGGGCTGCCTCCCGTCCCACGGGCTGGGGCTCAGGGCCAGACAGGTGCCGCTCTCTCGGTCTGCTGGCCCGCCCTCCAAGCTCTTTAGTCTCAAATGACATTATTTAAAAAGAAAGACGGGACAAGTGACTAGCAACACATGCCAGAGGCAGATCATCTCCACATTTTATAAAGAGATTACTTAGAACACTTTAGCAAAAGGTAGGCTGTGGCCTATTAGTGAAGTGTATAATAAATGTATTGGGTGATGACAAATATCAAAGAAAAAAAGTCACAGAAAATAGCAGAGTGCTTGATACATAGTAATGGTAAATCTGGATTCAAAAGTCTGGTATGAGGAGTAGGTATGTATTAGATCATGATTAAAATGGGTTGTGTCTTTTGGTTTTTTTTTTTACTGTGAGTTTTTCTGAGAAATACGGACTTAAAATATGGTGAGGTATTCTAGGCTATGTAAAAAGGAAAACATTTACTATCTTTCCATTTTACTTTTATCTCAACAGATGACAAGTTTCCTAATTTTTTGGATGGTCGTTTGAGAGCGCGCGCACAGGCAAGTGGGGTAGGAGCGGAGCGGGGCGAGCAGGTGGCAGCTTTCTGCAGAGGCACGTGGGGTGGTCCGAGAGACGTCTGCATATAAAAGCTGAAGCAACTCTTTATGTTACGAATTTTTGTGTGACCCTGTGTTTCTCAAATGCAGCCTTGATGTATTCTGTGTGGCTCCCTCACATACTCCTGGAAGGTTCCTGTCTTCTAAAAAGATTTTAAAAAGGTGAGCCTGGGTGGCTGAGTCGGCTAAGCCTCCACCTCTTGATTTCGGCTCAGGATCACGGGATTGAGCCCCTTGTGGGCTCTGCGCTGATAGCGCCGCTGATAGTGCCGGGCCTGCTTGGGATTCATGCTCTTTCTTTCTCTATCTGTCTGTCTGTCTCTCTCTCTCTCGTTCTCCCTGGCCCCCAGCCCCTCTCCTACAAGTACACACATGCTCTCTCTCTCAAAATCAGCAACTAAACATTAGAACAAAAAGATTTTAAAAATAATCAGATTCCTGGAGTGCTTGGGGGGCTCAGTCGGTTGAGCGTCCAACTTAGGCTCAGGTCATGGTCTCACCTCAGCTCAAGCCCCACGTCAGGCTCTGTGCTGACAGCTGGAAACCTGGAACCTGTTTCAGAGTCTGTGTCTCTGTCTCTCTCTGCCCCGCCCCCACTCATGCTTGTTCTCACGCGTGCACTCTCTCAAAAATAAACATTAGAAAAAAAGGTAATCAGTTTCCTAAACCCAGAAATTCAAGATCACAAACTGTGGCAACCTTGTACTGGAAGGATATGAAAGATGAACAAAAATATCATTTATAATCATTTAAAAATGTTAAACCTGATAATCCTCCTGAATCCACTGTTCATTCACTTAACTGAACCTGAGCACTCAGCATAGAGATACAAAAGACCCATGCCCTCAAAGAAACACACTGACAGTTACAGTAGAGGGGTTAAGTCATATAGTAAGTTGTCAGATAAAGAAACAAAACAAGGAAAAAGTACAGAAGAAAGCTTTGTGGAAGAGATGACATTGAAACTAGGTTGCAATTAGGATTTTTTGACATAAAAACAAGAGAAATATAAAGTTGGAAGGAACTCTAGATATCATCTGATCCAGCAGTTCTACACTGGGGAGGATTTTGCCCAAAAAGACACATATGGAAGTGTCTGGAGACAAGTGGAGTTGTCACACTGGGGAGAGCTGCTCCTGGCATCTGGGAGGCACAAGCCACGGACACTGCTCACCATCCTACAGGCCCCAGACAACAAAGAATAACCTGACCTCAAATGTCAATAGTGCCAAAGGTGAGAAACTTTGAATCCAATCTCAGTACAATGTCCCTGTTTTATATAAGATAACTGAAAGCTGCGGAGACTTTAAAAACTTGCTAAAAAGCTAAAATCATACAACAGGTCTCATAACAACCTGTCTAGTGTTTAATTCACACCCACACGCATAGGTTATTATGCTAGGAAAGAGATGTTTTCTAAGAGTGGGAATGTTTATGTGAGGTGGAAAAACTGGGTAGAAATCAAAGCTGGTATTATTATACAGCCTTTCTTCAAACAGTTCTACTAATGGCTCAAAGAACTACAAAACCATCTAAAAATGTATACCCGTATTTGCTCCTTACACTAGGTTTATCACCTGTAAAACTCCGTTACTGAGCATGGACCTCTAAGCACAGTTACAACCACCACCAGGCAGACGGAAGGCGAGCGCGCGCAAGCACCACCCTCCATTACTGCGCGGGGCAGGGCTCTAAAGCCCCACCAGCTCCAGCCACAGTCACCAAGGCTCTGGGGCTTGGGTGCGATTTGCCTCTTCAATTCAAAATCATATGCTAAGTTACCCTTTCCTTTGCTGATGAGGTTTCTAATAACAAATCAAATGTACAAAGACATTCTTAGGGGCCTGATTTAGGGCCTAAATCTAAACACAGCAAGTTACCCGGACATCTTTTAGTTTTTCATCCTTGCTCTTCACTGCCCAAAGGGGTGAGAGTGAGGGGAGAGGGTAAACACATGTTACCAGCAGTACAGATTAGGTTTCAAAAAAGTTTTTGGCTCCAATAACCACCGAAATAAAGATATATAGATACATACTCCTTACCTCTAATTTTTCGATTGCTGAAACTTCAACTAAGATACCTTGTACAGTTTGACACACAATTCACGGTGAAACACTTGAGAAAAGGCTGCAGATAGTATCCTAAAAAAAAAAAAACAAAAAAAAAAAAACGAAGACCAAAGAGGTTTCAATTATAAAAGGTTTAAAGACAGCTTGAGCAAGTGACAGTGTATAAATAAAAGGTCATGAAATAGCAAGCAGTGTTTGTATACCTTTACTACCTGAAATTTCACTGAATAAAGTTTATGTTCAATCAATACCAACAGAAAGTTCGCATGACTGCATCAGCCACTCTGCCCCTCTTCTCACTGAGTTACTTCTAGTGCCTAAGGGAGAGGTAGCAACAGCAGGAAGGACAGCCATAGATTTTCTGAGGGTTCGTCATCATAGAAAGCTACTGGGGTGGTGGGCGGGGTGCCTGTGTATGCCAGTCAGTTAAGCGTCTGACTCTTGGTTTCAGCTCGGGTCATAACTTCATGGTTTGTTAGTTTGAGCCCTGCCTGAGGCTCTGTGCTGACAGCGTGCAGCCTGCTTGGGATTCTCTCCCTCTCTCTCTGCCCCTCCCCTGCTAGTGTGTGTGTGCGCTCTCTCTCTCTCAATATAAATAAACTTAAGTTTAAAATTTTTTTAAATTTTTTAAAAAGCTATCAAGAGTAATTTTTCTTGCATTCCCTGGCAAACCATCAGGGGTCGCTGGAGTTCCCCATTTATACTAGTCATTAAAATTTAGTAAGTTTCAGGGGTGCCTGGGTGGTTCAGTCAGTTGAGCATCCGACTTTGGCTCCGGTCATGATCTCGTGGTTTGTGGGTTCAGACCCCATGTCGGGCTCTGTGCTGACAGCTAGCTCAGAGCCAGGAGCCTGAAGCCTGCTCCGGATTCGGTGTCTCCTCTCTCTGCCCCTCCCCTGTTCATGCTTTGCCTCTCTCTGTCTCTCAATTATAAATAAATGTAAAAAAAATTTTTTTAATTTAATGAGTTTCAGGCTCTTTAAGAGTCACAGGTCTTAAAATTTAAATGACTTCATACTGAATCTAATTTACTTTCCAGTAAAGTTAAGTAAGTTTTTAAATTTCCAAACCCCGTAAGGAGCACCACACCCTCACTGCAAAGCCCAACTTTTTGTTACCTATATCTTCTCAATAGAATTTGAAATGCTCACTCAAGACTGGGAGGTCCTCCCCATAATACAACTCACAAAATCACACCTCATTCAAAACTACGAAAAAAAAGTATGTGATCATAAGCCTCAATGAAATAACAGTCTTAGATAAAGAGGAAAGCAGGATACATACAACTCAATAATTACTTTAAATATAAATGGCCTAAAGCTCCCATAAGAAGATACAGGGTGGGTACCCATTAATAGTATGTGGACCCACGAGGCTGAATGAAGTGCCGAGGTCCAACGCCCCATGGAGCCAGTGTACCCCAGCCTTGGACGACCTGGCACAGGACTGCACCTGCTCAGCACAATCGTCGGCACGCGCAGCCTTGTGCTTGAGCTGAGGAGGTGCACCCGGGTCACGGTCTACTGCTCCTTCAGCCACTGTGCCAACGCCCACAGCTCTGAGGACACTGAACAGAGGATAAGGAGCTTCCTGCTGTCCATCACTGCCTCGGCGATACCCTATCCGCAGAACCCGCAGCCCGTGATGCTCCCCTGGTGACATTAGCTCAGGACCCCTCTACTCACCTTGCCCCAGGCCCGGCCCCGCTGGCTGCTCAGCCTCCCGCCCTCACCTGCTGTCATGGGCTTCCCTGACTGAGAGAGTCTCAGGGTCTGCCCCTGGAGGGGCCCTGACCCTTTCCCTGGGATTCCACTTCAGCTGGGCAGAGGGGAATACCCTAAGCCTACTGTTCCTGCCTGCCTTCCCCAACCTGCCTGCTGGTGGGGGAGATGCTATCCACGTTTCTAAGTGTATTCACTCGTTTTTTGTTGTTGTTGTTGAAACCAGCTAGTGACAAAGTTTTGCATTCCGGCACACACACAAAAAAAGATACAGGGTAACTGGAATTAAAAAACAAGACCAGGAGCACCTGTGTGGCTCAGCTGGTTGAACGTCCAACTTCAGCTCAGGCCATGATCTCGCAGTTCATGAGTTTGAGCCTCACAACAGGCTATCAGCTGTCAGCACAGAGCTCAGCACAGAGCTCAGCACAGAGCTCACTTTGGATCCTCTGTTCCCCACTCTCTGCCCCTCCCCCATTCATTCTCATTCTCTGTCTCTCTCAAAAATATATAAAACACTTAAAAAATAAAACAAAGAACAAGACCATACACATGTAGTCTAATAAGAGACTCACTTCAGAACTAAAGGCACATGCAGAATGAAAGTGAAAGAATGGAAAAGCATTTATCATGCAAATGGAAGTGAAAAAAAGAGCCAGGGTAGCAATACTTATATCAGACAAAATAGGCTTGAAAACAGAGACTGTAGCAAAAGACAAAGAAAGATACTACATGATGATAAAGGGAACAATAGAACAAGAAGATATGACAATTGTACATATCTATGCACCCAATACAGACACACCAAAATATATAAACCAATTATGAACAGACACAAAAGTAGAAACAGTAATACAATAATACTAGGGGACTTTAACACCCACTTACATCAATGGACAGACCATTCAGACAGAAAATTAAAAGGAAAGAGTGGCTTTAAAAGACACATTAAACCAGATGGACCTAACAGATATATACAGAACATTCCATCCCAAAACAGAATACATTCTTTTCAAGTGCACATAGAACATTCTCCAGAATAAATCACATTAGGCCATAAAACAAGTCTTAGTAAATTCAAGAAAAATAAAAACACAACAGCCATCTCTTCTGACCAAAACAATATGAAACCAGAAATCTACTACAAGAAAAAATCTGGAAAAAAAAAAAAACACCAGTACATGGAAGCTAAACATGGTACTAAACAATGGGTCAACCAAGACATCAAATGGGAAACCCAAAAATATGTGGAAACATATGAAAATGAAAATACAGTAGTCCAAAATCTTGTGGGTGGAGCAAAAGCACTTCTAAAAGAGAAGTTTATAGCCAGAGAGGTCTACCTCAAGAACACGAAAAACGCCAAATAAACAACCTAACCTTACATCTAAACAAGCTAGAAAAAAACATGGCCCAAAACTAGTAGAAGGAAATAATAAAGATTAGAGGGGGGGGAAATGACACAGAGAATAAAAATACAATAAAAAAGATCAGTAAAACCTGGAACTGGTTCTTCAAAAAGATAAAACTGATAAATGTTTAGCCCAACTCATCAAGAAAAAAAGAGAGGAGTCAAATAAATAAAATCAGAATGGGGTGCCTGGGTGGCTCAGTCGGTTGAGTGTCCAACTTTGGCTCAGGTCATGATCTCACAGTTTATGAGTTCCATCCCCAGGTCGGGCTCTGTGCCAACAGCTCAGAGCCTGGAGCCTGCTTCAGATTCTGTGTCTCCCTCTCTGCACCTCCTCCAGGTGCACTCTTCTCTCTCAAAAATAAATAAACATTAAAAAAATTTTTTTAAGAAGTAACATCAGAAATGAAGTGACTAACACTACAAAAATAAGGATTATTAAGAGACTACTACCAAAAACTATCCACCAAGAAAACCTAGAAGAGATGACTAAACTCCTGTAAGCATATAATCTTTGAAAACTGAATCAAGAAAAATAGAGTATTTAAACACAGTGATTACAAGCAATAAAATGGAATCCATAATCAGAAAACTCCCAATAAACCAAAGTCCAGGATCAGACAGCTTCATAAGTGAATTTTACCAAACATTTTAAGAGTTAATACCTATCCTGCACAAAATATTCCAAAAGACAGAAGGAAAACTTCCATATTCATTCTGAAACCAGCATTACCCTGATACCAAAACCAGAAAAGACGCTACAAGAAAACTACAGAGCAATATCCCTGAAAAACAAAGATGCAGCTGCACCTGGGTGGCTTAGTCGATTAATCATGGGACTTCAGCTCAGGTCGTGTTCTCACAATTTGAGAGTTCGATGCCTACAACAGGTGAGCTCGAGCCCTGCTTCCGGTGAGCCCCACTTCTCTCTCTCTCTCCTCCCCCCCAACCCCTGCTCCTCATGGGATACTCTCCATCCATTGCTCACCTACACCTTCTCTCAAAAGCAAAAAAAGAAAGAAAAAGCAAAAATCCTTAAGAGAATATGAGCAAATCAAATTCAACATTTTACATAAAAAAAATCATTCATTGTGATCAAGTAGGATTTATTCCAGGGATGCAAGGATGGTACAATATTAACAAATTAATGTGATACATCACAGTACCAAGAGAAAGTATAAAAACCTTTATGATCACCTCAAGAGACACAAAAAAAGCGTTTGACAGAGTACAACATCCATTCACAATAAAAACTCCGAACAAAGTAGGTTTAAGAGAGAACATACCTCAACATAATAAAGACCGTATGTGAAAAATCCACAACAGCATACTGAATGTTGAAAAAGTGAGAGCTTTTCCACTAAGATCAGAAACAGGACAAGGATGTCCACACTCAACACTATAGCTCAACACAGAACTGGAAGCCCTAGTGAGAGCACCCAGACAAGAAAAAGAAAAAAAAGGCAACAAACTGGTAGGGAGAAAGTAAACTCACTATTTGCAGATGACATAATACTACATATAGAAAACCCTAAAGATTCCACCAAAATAATTAGAATTGATAAACGAACTTCATAAACTGAAGTCTATAAAATATACAGTAATCTGTTGCATTTCTATACACTAATAATGAATTAGCAGAAAGAGAAATTAAGAAAACAATTCCATTAACAACGGCATCAAAGAGAATACCTAAGATAAACCTAACCAAGAAGGTGAAAAATCTGTACTCTGAAAACTATAAAACACTGATGAAAGAAACTCAAGAGGACACAAATGGAAGGATACTCATGCTCACAGATTACATAATTAGCATTGTGAAAATATCCATACTACCTACCCAAAGGGTTCTACACATTCAGTGCAATCCCTATTAAAATACCAAGAGCGTTTTCCACAAAACTAGAATACCACTCAACTATGGAACCACAAAAGACCTT